ACCGTACCATTAATTTACCACAACACAACATTCTTTGTCATTTGAAATCATAAGCACACAGCATATTTAAAACTACAATGTAAACCTACATACCAGGGGTGGCGCCAAGATTTGCCCGACGGGGTGGGTGGGGGGAGCGAGGTCCCCGACGGGGGAGCCGATGCCCCGACGAGGAGTCAGATTTCCCCGACGAAAGCAAAGTGGGTGTGGTCGAGCTTCGATTAAAAGGTTACGAAAGTGGTCCTGGGGGCGAAGCCCCCGAAAATTTTGACAATTTAGGGGTTTCAAAGGCTTATTTAATCGATTTTAGAGTCTACTAATATGTAGAAAATACATATAATTTTTTTTCTCCCCGACGAATTGTACTTTTTCTCCCCGACGAGGGAGGCCAGCTCTCCCCAACGGAGATTACAGATGATTATTTTTTTAATTACTAGGCGTATTAGGCCTATTATTATTTCTTATATTATAATAAAATAACTGAAGTTGGCCAAATTTTTAAAAAGTGTCATATACCGGTACTCTAATTACACACCAAAACAATTTTATGATTAATTAATAATAGGCCTATAAGTACAATATATAGTATAGTAGTAGTAGTAGTATATTATACCGTACTTCCTTTAGTTGATGAAAAATATTTTGTACTGGAAATTGGCTGATACATTTATTATTATTTATTATTATTATACGCCTATCATAAAACTCAATCAATACGATTTTTACAGTGCACTTGCATACAGTGGTGGCGCCAGTGGGGGAGGGGGAATTTTCCCACCCGTCGGAGAGGCCTGGTGCCTCCTGTCGTCCGACGAATCACTAGGTCATCGGACCAAAAATTAAAAAAAAAAACCATAATATTTGCCATCCAAATAACCTAATCCCTAATATTGTGGTAGGCACATTTAAGACGACCAAATTGTGTTAGGTATTAGTATCCTATTTATTTGTTTGTAAGTTAGAACTAGCTGGCCTAGGCTAGGCCTACCTATGGTCTAGGCCCACCCTCTAAAGTTTAGCTGTAGGAGAACCGTCCGTTTGGAACTAAAAATACTGAATTGATCTTATCCGCTAGATTTCAAGTTTTATCAACATAAAACTTGCTGTTGCATATGCTTTATTGTTAAAAATAAGGAATTTCGTTTATGATAATGTCATTTATTTTGTTAGAGAATGTTAGCATATTTTTCCATATTTTGCAAAACAGATGTCTAATAGCTCTACAACTAAAAGTTGTTGTCAAAATAAAACACTCCGAAAATGTGTTTCCCTATGAAATATAACCTTTGTATAGCTGTTGTTCCCAAAGTTAAAATTTGGGTCCTGCAAAATAGATTGATATCAGTCCTATGGTTCAAATGGATACTGGAATCAAGCTTATTCGCTCATGTTGTTTTGGTGACCGTTATTTGGGGCTTCTATGGTCGGGTGGGGTCGTATAGGTCCGGTATTTCGGGGCCCTATGCCTGAAAGCCGCGCGAAAGCGCATAAGCGTGATGCGCATGCGTAAGAGTGTATACCCATTAAAAGGACTTATAATTACAACAACACTTACATCTCTAAAGGTCCTGTTTAATCCCTAAAAATGTCAGAATTGATTTGGCTAAAAACAACTCCGTCTCCTTAAGCCTCATAGTGAGATTTGGTTTATTTCTATCTAGTAATCGTGCGATTTATGCGCGGGGAATGAAATTAAAAATAATAAGTACACTCGCTAAGCCCACAAAAAAGAGTGTTAACTAAAAGAAGAAAAACGACAAATTAGATGCCAAGAGTCTTGGCTTAAGAAAAACAAATTATATTAAAAGGATTAAACAAAATAAAATAAAACTAACCATTATAAAAGTACACGGTAACTCGCACTTTTACCAGAAAGTATCATCCATTCCAATGATATTATTTCTTTGGTCGTTAAATTTGATTGTAATGCTATCTATCACCCACATTACTGTTGAGATATGTTGCTTTCAATGTGCGACTGACGTCATAGGCCTGATGGCGTTGTTTTGAGTTAAAGACAAACCGCATCTCTTTGGAAAAGTTCACTTACCAAACCAAGCTTTCGGAGGCAGCATTTTGATTTTGTGAGAACCTGAAGAAAACAAACGGAAACAGTTTGCTAAAGACAGCAAATCGCAACCCGTGACAATCAGAACATTTTGCCGGTTTCAACGGTTTGAGAAAGGTAGGCGCATAAACACCGTTTATTTCGCATTTATTCTTGCTTTCTTTTTTTATTTCATAGGAAAAAGGAAATGCATAATTTAAAAACACTCAAAAGTATTTTATCTGTACTGATTGCGATGCAATGATAGTTTTGTTATCTCGATATGCCTATATTATATTCAAAATGGTATTGAATTGTATGTCGCTGAATTGGGACAATCCTGAATTACAGCTATAGGCCTATAAGAAACGGCAACAGTACTTTTGACTACCGGTATAAAATGTATTAGCTCTAGATTTAGATCAAGCACCAATATACTTCAGTAGTTGTTTAAAAGTTCATCATACATTACGACCAAATCTTCGCTCTGAATCAGACCATTTTCGCCTTTCATGCCCCTTAGTTCATAGCAGATCAGGTGATAGTTCTTTTAGTGTAACAGCGGCCATAGAATGGAATAAACTCCCTACAGTTATTAAAACAACAAATAATGTTGAATCTTTTAAAAAACTACTGAAAACATATCTTTTTTCAAAATTAACTTGAGCTTATTGCTTCAAATCATTATTCAACTCTGTAAACGCTATGATATAGTTTTCTATGAATAGCGTATCTAAATACTACTAATACTAATACTAATACTACTAATACTAGATTTCGTCCACACAGTGAACTTCATAAGGAAACTGTACAGTCTCCTGATGAAGTCCACTTTGTGGACAAAGGTTAGAGCTAATAAATTTTATAGTTAGTCTCAAAGTGCTTACCGTATTTCTTATATTGTTCCATAGCAGATAACGCGGCTACACATTTTATTCATCAAATTAAAACTAAATATTCAAATCAATATAAAAAAACAGAATTGTTTGGTTATTAAGATAAACTGTAGTAAAATCTGCATTAAAAAAACCCCCGAAAAATGATATTTGAAGCATCGAATTCTATTTATTTGGTAAAATCGTAGAAAGTATATAGTATCGATTCAACCTAACTTTACTGGACCAATAAAATCATGGCTCCAATTGGCTGAAAAAACAAAGACTCATTTGTTACAATTACTTAAAAGTAAAATCTTGTAAAAATGTTAAAATATAAAATAGAACATTTATCAACTTGTAAAGAATTCTGCTTTTCATGGTCTTCAGACGTTAACTAAAATTACAAAAATCATTAAATTGATGCAAAATAACGAATTATTAATTATGCGGCTGTTAAATTTGGCTAAGAAAACAATCTTCTCGTTTTTTAACTACCAATGGAAAACTAATAGTTTACTATAAGGAAATCGACTGTTGATCTATATTATTGGCTTACCAGTTACCAGCAATTTCTATATTCTTTACATACCTTCAGATTGGCTGATCATCACTAAAGAAATTTCATAGTAAATCAATGAAAACTTAGTTAAAATCTTCCGATCTATGTTACGATTTGTGAAATCAAAAATGTGTATATATCAGAGATACATTTCAATAATTTAACTTTAACTAAAAATCACGAGAAATGATTTTTCTTGTCAATTAACGACGTATATGTTTCTATCTTTACATATAATAGGACGTCCGTACTCTTAAAATTATGACAGCAAACCTAAGTATTAGTGTACCGTATTAAAACACCTGTAAATCATTGAAAATTTGTTTTTATAAATCTATACCTTGAAAACTTATGTTATTCGTTAGAGCAATTTAAAATTACTATTACATTAGGATTTTTCAATTTTTTTGGGTGGCAGTATATGTTAAATGTATTATATTTCATCAACTAGGCCTCTATAATTAAAAAAAATGTTCAAGCTCATACACCGGTAAATATTGCATGTTATAAATGTACTTTTATGACTTCAATAATCAAATTATATAATAGTATTAATTAATATGATTATTAATTACTATGAGTATTAATTAATATGATTATTATATTACAGTATTGAAAGGTCTTTAACCCACAGGACATAGGCCTATTCCTAATCAACGAAGTAAGATATTTTGTTATTACAAAATAATTTCTTTAAAACGTGCCTATATCAATACAAAATTATTGGATTTATTACTAAATTAATGGTTTAAAATGTACTGTAATATCAAAATGGTACAGAATAAGCGAACGTAATGGGAAAGCAGCGAATACAAGGCCACTGTAAGGAAAGTGGGCAATCTCATTATTTATATAATAATCAAGCCTCTTTATGAAGAAGGATTGGAGTTACTGTATTACCGAAAACAGAGGATTATAACTACCAGAGACGATATATATA